TGACCTGAAGGCCGCTATCAAAGCAACCTGGGCTTCCATACCACCTCAGCTGTGCCACAGGCTGATTGTCTCCATGCCACGCCGCACTGATGCAGTAATTAAAGCAGAAGGAGGCACAACCAAGTACTGAGTACATGTACAGTAAATTAACATACTTTCCAGAAGGCCAACAATTCACTAAAAATGTTTTTTTTATTGGTCTTATGAAGTATTCTAATTTGTTGAGATAGTGAAATGTGAGCCAAAATCATCCCAATTAAAAGAACCAAAGACTTAAACTACTTCAGTCTGTGGGCATTGAATTTATTTAATACACGAGTTTCACAATTTGAGTTGAATTACTGAAATAAATGAACTTTTCCATGACATTCTAATTTATTGAGATGCACCTGTACATACACACACACACACACACATATATATATATACATATATACACCCACATATATATATATATACACACACACACAGCCTTAGTTAGATTCTATGTAGACCTGTGATCTGGGTACTTTTTTGATGTTTTTCATCTTTCCCCCATACAGAATGTACCAACAGGACCCAACAACAAGCCTAAGCTGCCCATTGTCGTTGCCCAGTGTGGAGAAATGTGATGTATTACACATCAGAAAAGACATGTGACCTTTGCTTTAAAGAAAACAGACAAGCTATTTCGGACAGACTAACTTATCATCATCTCCATTGCAAATCGTGTCATTTTTGTATAGGTCATTTTGTGGAATTGCCTGATTTTTTGTGAAAAATTCTTGGTTGAACGAGTTTGTAATTTTATATTGTACAATGTAAGTCACAGCAGAATTTGCATGTTAGCACTCGACACTGATTCAGAGCAGATTTCACCATTAGCTCATCTGACTTTCTTTTATCGACATTTGCATTTATGACCAAACTTGAACATTCAAGACAGAAACATGTATTCTTTGTACATTCTTTTATTTTGATCAGCCTTTAGAAATGGCCTTAAGACCGTTGAGGGTTTTCTTAGCCTTGTAACTTAATAAATGTTGACCCGTGTTTTTTTTTTTTTTTTTTTTAAGTCATCGTTTTACATTCTTTATTTCACTTCAGATTCAGTGAGAATTGAAATCAAGAGACGTTTCCTGAATTGTCAAGGTCTTCGAGTTTATGATACTGAGCCAACACCTTAAAGGACATCTTAATGCAAATTCCTTATGGTTGTACTCCCTTTGTCTTCTTGCTGCCTACCCTAACCCAAAGCCCCTTCCCCCATCTCTTGGACCGTGTCCCACGTGCACAAAAGGGCTCTTTCAGCTGAAGTGCAGGAAGAGTTTGGACTCGGTGGGAGGCTTCTGGGGTCAATGTTAAAGCCCGTCTTTGTGTGGGACAACAGGGCCATTAACAATAAAATCACACTTCAACCAGGTCTCCTCCACGGTAGTGCCAAAAACATATTTACATGACAAAAGGCAAGGGGGTAGCGTGGGTCTGTCTCAAATGGTCATTGAGTGCTTCCTTTATAATGCGGTGGGAGAAGTCAGTGATGGGATTTATTTACATTGAAGTCATGGATTGATTCAGGTTCTGATTGGTTCACTGATGAGTGAAGCTATTCATACCTGCTTCATTTCTGTCTTTGTCGATTTGATGTCTGTTAAATATTTTGCACATTGGACATGAATGAGAAGTCAGTGATGGGATTTATTTACATTGAAGTCATGGATTGATTCAGGTTCTGATTGGTTCACTGATGAGTGAAGCTATTCATACCTGCTTCATTTCTGTCTTTGTCGATTTGATGTCTGTTAAATATTTTGCACATTGGACATGAACGCTAGAGATGAACTGTTTTGACAGTATAATATGAGGACATTTTGAGATGAATGGGAGTTTAATGAATGATAAGTAGACAGCTTTGTATTGAAATATACACCAATTTCCTAAACTGCTTTTGATAATCTCACGCTCTCTCAATTCCATTTTTATAAAACATGATTATAATATAACAATAAACAATGGAACAACAAGCACTGATAAAACAGTATTGCAATAGCGTGCTGAGTGATGAATAAAATATTATATAAATAATATTATATAAAATTGTAATAGTGCCAAGTGTTGAATAAGATTAAATTACACACACTCCTATGTAAATGAATAAATGTACTTTCTCAGTTCAATTCAAAGGAGCTTTACTGGCATGTCTAGATAAGACCATAAAAATATAACTAGAGGTACCAAGCCCGTTCTCTCAATATTTCATACCTGATTTATAAATATTTTCCTTTATTTTAAAATACGTAAGCCTGCCACTGAACGAATATATATATATATTTATATATTCACTTTTTAAAAGCTCATAATAAATGATTCAGAACTATGTGAAATATGCATTATTTTTACGTTCTGGTCAATTTTGTTGGTTATATGGGTTGTAGATGTTTGGGTTATATATCTGCCAGTGTGTCGGCTAGGATAAATGGGGTCTTGAATTCTGGGCGGTGCTAATTCTTTATGTAACCAATCGTGATCAGGCGTAATGATATTTCCATGTGATTGACAGTAAATATAACCAATGAGCGTCAGTAAAATAATTGACGTTGACTTATCCGACCAATTGGATTGAGGGATGGGTGGAGAGATGTGACAGAATATCGTCCGGCATCTTCACTCAGTCCGTCCAGTTCGATCGGCAGCGGGAGCGGAGAAAGGAAAGCGGAGAGCCCGAAGGCAGCAGCCCCCACCACCGCCGGCCCAGGTTACCATCTAGAACCGGGAAAACACACTAGAGAGCCACCGCCGGCTTTACCAACAAGAGAACAACATGAGCAGCGAGGCCGAAACACAGCAGCAGCAGCAGCAGTCGCCGCCGCCGCCGCAGCCTGCCGCCGACACGGAGAGCCCATCCAGCCCGACAGCCGCAGCTACCGCGGAGGATAAGAAGGTCATCGGTAAGCCTGTCAGCGAAGCCTCAGTCCTCTCGGGCTGCGGACTCGTTCATTCAAAAGAATATATTTCTTTAATACGTCGGTGCTTTAAGGCCTAATACAATTTTAACCGAAACGTTAAAGGATTTTTCCGTTAGGGAAAGCGTGTGGCCTCACTGCGACTGTGTGTGTCGTTATTCAGCCACCAATTTAATATTACTACCGTATTCCCGTGGCTACCTGGCCAGTGTTTTTGTTACGGACTTGCTTTACTTCGTACATTGAAGGACTCGTACGTTAAGCTTCAGCCGTTAAACGGTCTCCGTCAGTTTAAATGTTCGCTCGCGCGCCGCGTTCCATCAAACCGCCACGACGCGTGCTCGAGTCCGAGGCCTGCTTCAGGCAACACGAGTCCCGCTCACCGCGCTTCTCACTCCGGAGAGCCGCTAGCGTTATCCACTGCCCATACACCCACGATACGACTACTATATTATATCAGTATATGTATGTTGACTGTTTAGGCCGTCGATGTTTACGGTCCGTGAAACGGATCCTTGAGCTTGGCCCTGATCGTGATATGATGACCCAGATTAGCCATTCGACTGAAACACGTACACCGTACCAGTATACGAGTCCCGCTGTCCGGGTCCGTGAGGACCGCGTCGGGCTGAGTCGGCATCGATTATTGCGACGGCCGTGTTCTTGGGGAAAGCGCATATGAGCCAGACCAAAGCCTCTCTCCCTTTGTTCGAGCGGGGCGTTAGACGCGTCGCGCATACGTGTCCTTATTAACGCCATCGACGCCGTCTCCTGGAGATCTCCTCAGCCAGCAGGCGATTTAAAGTAACTTACAGATTTCGTAACACTCGTATAGATCAGGATCGTCTGCCTCTTTCTCGCGACCCCACATATAAAATGTCCGCCGTGGTGTTTGGATGATGGACGCCTCTTTTGTCTTATCCGCTGCTGCAAGCTCCGAGCGCTTCGGACGTTTAGCCACGCATACTAATCACCCGTCAGTCGCGATCTGAAGGAGAATATATCTTCTCGTAGTGCTTGTTTGTGTCGAGTAGTGAAGATGGAGAATCTAGACAGTTTGGCTCCGATCCGGCCACATGGCTGATGCTAGTGTGCTAACTGCAGTTAGCATCTCAACAGCATCACTTCCTACTTCACCACCACACTCGGCAAATGCGTGTGCGCACTAATAAACTACAGCCTAAACGAGATTTGTAACCAACACCAGGCCATCTTTCACCCCAAGAACTAGTTTTATATTTTCAAACCCATTTTCTGTTTTTTTTTTCTTAAACTATTATTATTATTATTATTAAACAATTTTTCAATGGGGTGAGGCAATATTTTCACAGCCAAAATAAAATATTTATTTGAAGTACTACCAAAGATTTTAGGTTTATATTTGCACATTCATGATTCTCTAATATTGGTTAGTGATCAAATGACATGCAGTTAAACATATAAAATATTTTGATTGTTTTATTTTTATTGTTTGGTATTTTTAAATGTTTTTATGTTTTAATTAATTATTAGCTTTTCATCATCTCATGCACCAACTGCAGTTCTGTCACAAATTCCAGTTTGTGAAACCCGAGGTAAGGTATACACAATAAATTTGATTTTCAATAGGGACGTAACGATTCACTCAACTCATGATTCGATTCGATTCGATTCACGATTTTGATTTCACGATTCGATTCGATTCACGATTTATTTATTTTTTTTACAAAATGAGATTTAAGACAAATTATAAATTAAATGTGTCCTTTTATTATTGCTTGGACAAAATTCTGCATGTTTCTTTGTGAAATTGAAATATAACACTATAATAATATACTAATATAGCACTTGTAAATTATTGCTCTTTTGTTGGTTTTGATTGCTTCTATTGTCCTCATTTGTAAGTCGTTTTGGACAAAAGCATCTGCTAAATAACAAAATTTAAATATAATGTAAATGTAAATAACAAAACTAAATTTTAATTTTTAAACAATCCCCAAATCAAATAAATAAGTAACACAAATAAAATAAATATCTTCATATAAACAAAATAATGCTTCGTCTGTGCTCTTTCCTTTTAAAATTAGAGGCAATC